TGTCCACACGTTACGATGTTTTTCCTTACAGAAATTCAATGCAGTTTAGTAGTAACCAAAAAAAAAAAAAAACAAAGCTTCCACGTGCCTAATGGTATCTTTGGTCTGTCAAATTGACGGAAAATATATGAGTTTTTATAATTTTAAGTCCTTCTTTCTTGGTTTTATCATGGTTCTTGTTTGATAACCATCAATGTTTGACGACAAACTCAATCAAACCATATATCAACAACATAATCATACAAATTCCTTTTCTTTATATTGACTGGCTTTTTTATTCGTATTCTGTAGCCTTGTATTATATTCCCTCCGCCCGCTCATAAATTATTGATTAGGCGAGGGTTAAGAATAAACACGTCCTGAAGGTAGGTTTAAATTGGTCGTCGCCAAGGTCAAAAGTTGCTATACTGTAGACGGAGGCACAATGGAAAAACGTCGTTAGCTTGTAAGTACTCTATATTTCAGATTCGAGAGATGATCGTCGTATGTTTTGTGATGGTCGTAGCTTTGTTTTTTTGCCAGAAAAAAAAAAAAACAAAGTGATGGTCGTAGCTTTGTTTTGGCAAAAAAGTTTCATCTTTCTCCTGTACCTACAATTTCGTCATCATTTTCAAAAATCTCGCTACCGAAAATGAATTTGCATCTAAGTAGAATATACAACAGCAATCTTTCCTGAACCGACTATTGCCTTTCAGCTTCAGTATTTAACCTTCTTCTTCCACCTCAAAAATAATTCAAATTTTAATTCAGGATCTTGGAATTATGCCAATTACTTGTATTAAATGTACTTGTCGTGGCTGATGCATTGCAGAAATATCAGTTTAATGGCTTATTTTTCTCAAAATTAAATCATCGGTTTGTTGTATTTTCCTGCGGATATCGGGAATCCAGGATTTAGGTTCTTTCTCATCTGTATGTTGGTACAGATCTGTAGGCACAATATTTGTAGAGTATTGTGTAGACACAATATTTTGAATTTCTACACAATTGAAGTAGTACACAATATTTAATTGCACTCCATATTTTTGATGCGGTTTAGTCGCCACGATTGTAAATGTACTCACGATTGTTAAACTTTAACGCTTCTCTTTACTTTTACTTTTAACAAAAATTTAAATCCTATTCACTTATATCTAAGCCTAGCGCGAGCACTCATGAGCGTGAATACGTATGTCAGGTTAATATCGCTCATGATCATAGAAACTCGTATTTTCACATAATATTCTACGATGCTCTCGTATTATTATCAGCAATATCTTTTATATTGTTACTTGTTGAGAAACCGTTCTCAATTTTCCGAGTGAATGAACAAAATCGTTCTGTTAACAACCGTTTATTTGACGGACCCTAGACAACAGAATCTCGGGAAGCATCATCTCGCTTTCTCTGCACCGAATCAAATCATGCAAGCGTGACTCCTGAAGGCGCTTAACATGTCAAGTCCAGGTCGTCACTCGCGAGATATTTTGCCGCATGCTAACGTGTGACGCGGGGGAGACAGAATCTTATTTGCTGCGATGCAGACGAGAGGTTACGCGCTCCGGTCTTTCGCCGCGTCCAGCGATGCGCATAATCGACTGATGTTCCGCTCCGGTGCTCCCTTCTGTTGGCAATGTGTGCACTGCATGGTTATTGCGATGCAATACGTTCGCCCTGGATTACTTGTGTGTTGATAATTCATTTACCGTAAACTAATAGCGTGCCTCTAAGCCCAGAATCACTGGTCTTCTGGATCGTGTTCTAGTTGTCAGACACGCGAGTGTAGTGAGCCTCTGATAAATGAACGTCTGTTTGTTTGCATTTACGTATGCATGGCGCGTAGCATTCGAGATTAGTATAGCAAATTCGCTTTGATTGAGATCTACCATTTTTAAAGCGAATATTTTGATATAATTGCCAGACTGGGCGCGTGTGAAGTTGTTTGTTTATGAGCGCCACTGCACGAGTATATATTGCAGATAACTTGTCGGAATTTGTTTGATGGCGATCTACACTCGAAGAATGAGTGAGACTTTGATCAAATTGCTATTCAATTTTTGCGTTTGTTTGAGTCATCCTGAACCAGCTTACCTAACGAAAAGGCATTTCAGTGCTACGTTCGCTCGCTGCTCGTGCTGTTGGTAAGAAAAGAACGTTCATACTTGGAAAATATGAGCCATTTAATTGCTCTGATTGCGATTAGTTTTATCTTTTACCGCACGCATATCCTATGTATTTTCATTTTATGAACTAATGAGTTCTCTCCTAACATTAATTAGGTATTACAATTCTTCATTTGTCATTTATTTGACCTCCTGTTTACCTTAATAACAACGTAAGTTAAAAATATCAGATAAAACCATACTTCATTTTCGCTCTAACGAAAATATACCCCGGCAAAATCTATATCCGGGTCAGCACGCTCTCGATGAGTAATTCGGCAGTTACGAACAAAGGAAATGAATGCTGCCCTTGTTACGCACGAGAACAAAGCGCTCCTCTAATAGAATCCGTCCACGTCTTGATAATTTCTGAGGCAAAACACACAATCGTCCGTTTAATTAGGGCAAGAAAATATGTCGGCGTACAGCACCATTGTGGACGATTCTCCAGCGCTTCTAGTTGGAAGCACAAGGAGAAAATTGTATTTATTTTACACACAGGAAGGTAGGCTCTTTGTTTTGGTCTCGCAGCTACTCCGAAGAAAAGAAAACATCCCTGCGGGTCTGGCAAGTGTGCAATATTCTATAGCGAATCTGCAGCTTCTTTACTTACTCGGACTTCCTCGTCAGAATTCTTGTAGGAATTCTGGGGTTGAAATCGTCCGTGCAGGAAGCTAGTGTCTAGTTAGCATGAGCACATATAGTTCAACTGGTTATATGAGATTACTTTGAGCTCGTGATACTTGCTTGTAGACTTTTATTCATCAAGAATGTTAGGAGAAGGGAAACAATGCCGCCCTGTTGAGGCTAACAAGTGAAACAGGATTTTGCCTCTTGCTTCTGTAAAGACACTCACATTAACCGTTTATCTGTCAAGAAACCCATCGATTGGTTTCTTTGTTTACCTTCCTTGAACCCTGGAGGTAGATCTTTGCAGGTACTCGTTGCCAGAGTTTGTCCGTTACCATTTCTTGTTCCTCGTTACACTAGCGGCGCCTTATTATCAGTGTCTTCGACTCGTTATCAGTTCCCAGTTGTGACGAGCAGTTGAGTATTCTGGGCCACAGCCACTGACCTCCAGCTCTACTGCTGGCTCCGCGCAACGCTGGACAGAAGAAAATGTTGTTTGGTCATTGCCTTGGAAAGGAAGGTTTAGAGCGTCGTTACTTTGGTTGTTGTCTCCTAAGTGACAACACTCTTGCCCTGCCTTGACTTATTTGCTTGCTGAACTCTGCCTTCCTGGCGCGAGCTCAGTTGTGGTCAGCCTCAGCGAGCATTGCGAAGGATTGCATACTAGTGCATGCGGACCTCAGCAGCCGGTATTTTGACGGTTTTGTTCTTCTTAAAATGTTTTTCTCTAAATGCGAAAGAATTATATTTATTTGTAGTATTTGGAGTATGAGTATTCAACTAATGCTTGTCTTGACGTCGTGATCAAAGACAAGCATTTCTTGATCAACTGGAAATCAAATGGCATTTGCGATACTTTATTTTTAACAGTAGTCCGTTGCTCAGTTGAAGCGCTTGTGCGGATAATATAGCCAATTATTACCTCTCTCTGCCGCCTCATATATCAAGGAAAACATCAGAGCTGCTTTAAAAAACAAATGCACATTAGGCGGATGACCGAATACATCTTGGACAGAGACTCAGCTAGAGATCTGCCCGATGCAACTTAGTAACTAATAAGGCTAGTATTATATGTTTTATTTCAATAACCATTAATCTCCATTGCATCATTAAAAGCTCATCGGGATAGTATGGGATCTGTTGCATGATAGCATTTAATGTGAATTATTCGTTTAGCTGCGATGGTTATCGGCGCCATTGTTCTGGTGCTATTGCAGGCCCTCATTCACGGCTGTTGTTCAGACATCGCACTTATCAGCACAGGCTTGCCCTAGTGCCTCTTTGTCAAGAACCAGCTTCACATCATCACTGGCCGAGCGTCGGCCACTTGTTGGCCTCCTAATACACGCCTGTAATTTATAATAGGCTTTTGTGCGTTATTGGTGCTTCGTGTTAGCCGGCCGTTACCTGTGCTGCTCTTAGCCAGGCTTCGGGGGGTGTGCTTAGAGTGCCCAGTGTTGCCGGTCAAAGGGAATAATGCATTAACATCCTCTCCCGGTCGGGATAAGAGAAAGCACGGGATAATCTACGGATGAAAGTTTCGCTGAGACCCTTGTGGTTGCGTGTTTCTTCAGAAACGTATAAGGAACGAAATTATATTCTTGATACATACGTTACTTAAATGCATTCCTGTGCTTTGAACGCTTATTTGTGGTCGGCATGTCCGCCAATAGCCTTCGCCGTGATCAACTTACTTCTAGTGAATACTTTCACTGGCTAATATCACATCTGTCCGTTCACTTGATATCGAGGAATGTGCTGAAGAATGTATTTATCATTTACAATCATTAAGTATGAATCTGTATGGCCTTATGATTGAATATATTGTTAGGAGAAACAGTATGGTGATTCGTAGACAACAGGCGTGTGATTTCTGTTCATCAATTAGTGATAATGACTGGCCGATTTTAATTCACACACGCTTTCCATTCTCTTGTAAGATGTGTGTTATATAGGAATTTCAATGAGCTTTTTAGTTAATTTATTTTATTCGTGGTTATGTTACTCCCATATTATTCATTTTATCGCTTATTCTTAACTAAATAAATTCCATAAATACACTTTTTCGATGACCTTGAACGTTAGTTCCATAACTTCCATCCAATGTATTTCTGGATGTCAAAATACACTCACCGCGAACTTTAATTATTGTGCCCTCATAATTCCGCATAGAATCCCATGCTTCTCAGTTGGACAAAATCCTCCAAAGTGTATTCGTGTGCATGGCAGTGTGACGCGCTGAGCCGCAACGAGACCCCCCTCGACCTGGACGACTGCGAGTCCGTGAACAGCCTGGACTCCTGCTCGCTGGGGTCGTGCCTGAGCAGCTGTGATGGTACCAACCCGCGCTGTGACCCCAGCACCGGCAGGAAGCTTGTGTCCGGCATCGTCCACTGCGGCCACAACCACGACGGAGCACCGAGCTTCTACCTCACGCCTACACAGCGGGCCGCGAGAACCATCCGGGCTCTCAGGGTGAGTACCAGTGTAACCATCCGAGCTCTCAGGGTGAGTACCAGGGCAACCATCCGGACTCTCAGGATGAGTACCAGTGCAACTATCCGAGCCCTCAGGTTGAGTACCAGTGCAACCATCCGGGCTCTCAGGGTGAGTACCAGTGTTACCATCCGAGCCCTCAGGTTGAGTACCAGTGCAACCATCCGGGCTCTCAGGGTGAGTACTAGTGTAACCATCCGAGCCCTCAGGGTAAGCACCAGTGCAACCATCCGAGCCCTCAAAATAGGAGCGACAGAGACTGCATGCTTGACTGCTATGGTAAGCAATTAGCATATATGTCGTGATGAAGATGTTCTGTAGACGCTTAGTCTACGGATCAATGGCGCTGAATTTAACTAACACTGAAATTTGGTGCGTTCTGCTGAAGTGTCGCTGGTTATTTCAGCTATGCCATATGTTATTTCCGACTCAAGTAATCGTTTCTCAATATATTTTTTAGCCGGGTTACATTTTCATTTGTTGAATTTTCTTGCTATTGAAAATCAAATAATACAACTGCACGTATTCTAATTTAAGATAGAGCCTTTTATCGGCAAATCTCCGTACCTGAAGAGTGAATATTGAAATTTGGTTCCTTTTCTATGATATTAATATCTTTGTATTGATATAATTTGAAAAGCTAATGTTTGAAAATAAATTCGTTTTTTATCTGGATGTTAAATTATTAACAACATCTATGTTCATGAGTCTCAATGTTCTTTCACAAAAATTAATTCGACGTTCACTTCAAATTCTTTACGTTTTCTTGCCTAATCTAGCCAACTCCATCCCAACCTCGGTAGTCTCTGCGCAATCTCTCACCTTCAATAATTCTTGGCTAGTGGCCGCTAAGAAAGCTCTCCTGATATTCAAAAAGATGCCATCAATTTCGCCAGGGTGTCATTTTTTGGGAGGGTGTGGGTAGCTGCTCTTTAGGAGCTTGTCAGCCCAACGATCCGTCTTGCCGGATGCCTAACGACTCACTTGAGCTACCAGCTTTATCTGACGCACAGTTGAGTGCTGTAGGAACACAGCGGACAATTTTAAAATTCACGCAGTATGATATTAAAATTCATCGTAGGCAGCCAAACATATATCGGACATTCAAATTCCTTTGATAATTCACCAACCTATCTTGGACGCCGCCTTTTTCTATAGCTTATCAACTGACGAATGTATTTTAAATTGAAAATGATCTCGATAGATAACGGTATTGTCTATGTAAAATAACTCTTTGCTCGCGAAATAGCTTCCTACTCATGGATGTCTATTTTTGACGGTTTATCTACTCAACCTAAATACCACTTTTTTTCTATGATCCAAAAAGGGAAGTGATTAAATGCTTGTCTAAATTTTGCTCTTTTAATTTTAATTTTTTCAAATTGATAGATTTGTGTGAGTTAATATTTGTAATAGATTTTTCTCTTAGGAGAAATTGAACGAAACTTTACCTTTCACGATAGGGCGCGTCGATTTATGGGTTTGCGCTTCCTTAAAATGGCAAATATTAATAAAATATAATATAATAAAATAAAATATAATATAATATAATAAAACCATATTTCTCAGACAAGTAATCAACAGCGAATATAATATAATATAATATAATATAATATAATATAATATAATATATAATATAATATTTCACTGCTGAACCGATGCTTTTTAACACCTTTCGACCAGCGCTGCTGTTATTAATATTGTAATTAGATGGGCTGCGCGAAATGTATTCCTGAGTGGCATGCTGGCAGTGGGTGTAGCTTTTATCTGCCGTATTTCAATTGAAGCGCCGCCGTTAATTGGCGGTTTTGCATGCGGTGCGCAACGTTTCATGTATCAAAAGAGCCCCCGATATGTTTCATCACAGTCCTAGAATTCGATCTACTATTTGGAACATCGAAATGCAATTGCTAGTCGCTGCCGAACGCTTCGTCGCGTTAACATCCACAATACAAATGCAAAAATGATGTCGATGAGGTACGTTCTTCAGGTTGTGCGCACAGCTACAGTGCAGGATTTCTGTGATTTTTGTTGCATTTGGTAGTTATGAACTTTACTTCTAGGGCCAAAATATAAGGTTTTTGCAAAATTAAAATTAGGCATCAATAATTCGCCTAGTAACAAAACGGTGTAATATCATTTCAGTCATTCACTCGGCGATTTATATTGAGGATTGAACGTGTCTATAACCCACTTGCTCTTTTTTCATTGATAAATATCGTAAACCGTCAGCTAGATTGCGATATTTCTTAGGCGTGTGTTTATGGGAACTTATGCAAGCCACTGGATTGCATGAAAACACTATTTTCTTTACATTATTTTTGTTATTTGTTACCTATTTTAAATATTTTTTCAACCTACATTAAAATACCCTTTACAGGTAATTTAACTAATCTTATTGCTGTATTCTTCCGTTGCGGTACTTCCTCTCGTTACTATAATAAGCAATACGTTAATGATTCTTATTAATCATCGAAATATGTTGCGATTTATCTATTAATGGTAAGTTTACACGAGACACGATTTACCTTAAGAACTGCCAAAAATGTTATTTTATTTTTTTTTCAAATATTTGTATGCATCCTTGTTCTTTTGTTGTTCGTATAAGAAAATGAGATCTGATGCAGACGTAATTTTTAGTTCTTTGGCCGCTTCTTGAAACTAGACATATAAGTCAGTAAGCGTTGATGTAAGTTAGGTGGAACGCTGAAATTCTCGGCCGAACCATCGAACGGCTCGTTACCTGAATTTTATTCTGTTAATGATGCCAGGCTTCAACGGCTCTCCATAATGATGCACATTTGCCGGATTTATGGGGAGCTCGTCGCCGTTTATGACTCCTCGTCTCGGCTGACTGACAGCTCCAGTGTTCAGAGCTTCTGTCTCGGCACTGCAGTCTCTGGTCATTTCGCTCGCGTGGGCGAGTTCAGCCAAATATCAGAATTTGCTCAGCTTTTTGTTTAGATATGAAATTTACGTGCAAGTGATGGGAGAAGATGAACATTTGCTATATGATAACAGTTACCATTTATTCTTCAAGGGTGTTTGAAGCATCTAAAGGCTTCACTTATCTCTTATGTCATCTTACCATTTTTTAATAGAATTGCCATCCTCGGATTCGCGACTCTTGCGCCACACTGGGAAATTTAAGTTTTTAAAAATTTTTATTCGTCATGTTTTAAAGTGATGTTTTTTTAACGAAGGCAAAATTAAGCTTTCATCAGATTTGATTTTTATGTAGGTTTTGGTCACTATTCGCATACAGAGTTTCCTTTCCTAAAATGCAATGAATGCTAACATTACTCGGGAAAAGCTCTTATACTTCTACTGTGCTCGCTCCTCAAGCTCCATCATTTCATGATGGTCTCGACGTCTTTTGTGGTCGATGGTGGACCTGTCCCATAATTTTGTCATCGTTTCCTTGGACGCTTTTAAATTGTATACAATATTTGAATTTTGCTGACGATGCTTAAGCACTGACGTCTGGGCGCCCACTATATCAAAATGAAATAAAAATATGAACTGCCACTAAATTGTTTATTTTTATTTTGCTTAGTCGCTGACGTCGGTGCTACCGCCGTAGACAAACTTTACTTCACAACATAATGCACCGTTGTTTACCTGTTTACTTTTCACGGCTACTGCCGTATCCAAGCCTCTCTACGTCACAAGATTCACAAGATAATGCTGTGTTGTTTACCCGTTTACTATTTATGGCTGATGTGAATTTTTCGGTCAGTGGAGTCTTCGTTAAGCGTCTTACGACATTGGAAAGTCATTAGCGCACAATTTGAGCTTAACTCAACCGATTTTGGTTCCGCGGCCGAACAAACTTAAAACTTCCCGAAATGACCAAACTTTGAGAGTAAAAACCTTGAGTCCTTGATAGGATTTAAAAAAAAACTTGGTTAATTGCCCCTGTCATCATTTACTTTATTTAGAAATTGAAATCATATATAACATCATGGTCCGAACAATCTGCCATTCAAATTTCCTTTTTTTCTCAAATTTTATTCAACGACAGAGTTTGGCAATTTGCCATGGACATAGTTTCCCCTTGCTTAGGGTAATTAATAATCACTTCTTGATGTTTGTGATTACTCGTTGATGCGATGCAATGAATTGCCAAAGTTTACATCCCGCGTTGCGTATCAACAGAGTCGGCTGGGGGCGGCCGAGCGACAAGTCGCCGCCAAAGACGCGGAGATCGCCGCCCTTAACCGACAACTGGTGCAGCTGCGGCTCAGTGGCAGCCAGGTGAGGGGACAGGCGAGGGGACAGGTGAGGGGACGGGTGAGGGGACAGGTGAGGGGACGGACAGGTGAGGGGACAGGTGAGGGGACGGACAGGTGAGGGGACGGACAGGTGAGGGGACGGACAGGTGAGGGGACGGACAGGTGAGGGGACGGACAGGTGAGGGGACGGCCATAGTACCGCTTTGATCTGAGACATTTAGATTTTTTATGTATCAAGAAGATCTTTATTCTGAAAACTATTCGGCTTCTTTTTTCACCACATGGTTTTAACATCGATACTACCATGTTATAATACCAGCACGGCTCAGCGCTGATACCGCCATGTCGTTCTACTTGCAGTTATTATTTATTTTCTTCCCTCTTTAACTGCTAAGATTACTGACGACTCACGTCAAGCGTCAGTCACCGCTGCGTCAGTGGGATCGTCAGGAGCCGCTGGTGCAGCGACAGCGACGTCAGGAGATCAGCCATGCGTCAGCCCCGCTGATGACGCCAGCGAGCCTGAACTGCGCGCGCTGTGTCGTCAGCCGCAGCTGCCTGGTGAGAGCGAACTCGATTATTTTGTTTCAGGCTCTTGACTTAATTGCTGGGTTAGGAGTGAAATAAAGAGACCCAAGTTAACGTGGTGCACGTGGTGATGTTGAAGGGAGGTTCGTTAGAATTGCTGGGCTAGGAGTAAATATAAGGAGACCCAAGTTAACGTGATGCACGTGGAGATGTTGAAGAGAGGTACGTTAGAATTTATAGCGAAAACGATACAAGGTACAGTAGAAGGTTTCTGAGTGGAGTTGGTGTTCAAATGTACATGAAATGAAATGAGGAGTTGTGTAAATTGGCTCATATAAAATAAAAATTGTGATAACAGATGCTGACGAAGTAAACGTAAAAATAGGGAGCAGTTTACGGGATATGCGTGAAATAGCTCACGTTATTAGCTAATAGCTAGCTTAGCATTAAATATGTCTTGAGCTTCAGACGGACTCAGCTCGTTAAAGATGAGCAGGCGACCAAATTTGTGCCAACTTTGTTGTGCTGTCGCTGAAATGATGAGAAATAGATTGAGCTGTTGAAGAAATTCAGCACGACTCTGGAAAAGCTGTTGACGGAAGTGCATACCTAGCGAAATTGAGCTAGTTTCACTTGTCAGTTTTCCACTAGCTTTAACAAGTAAACATTTTTCACACGCATCATGTTGGGATTTGTGTTTCATTAAACGCCGCCTTTCTTCAAATATTGAGAAATTTTCAAATAAATCCATTCCGAATTCATTTGAAGCGCGGTTGTGTGGAGGAATTTAACTAATTCCCATTCCTTGAAAACGAGTGTTAACCTCGTCAAATCTATTCGTTAGTTGGTAGTATTCGGAAGTATGTGGTTTCTACCGAACGCCTAATTCAAACAGAATGAAAATTTTCGCACTTGTCGTACTTGAACCTAATTCAACAGAGAATTAGTTCCGAGGTTGGTGAAACTGTTGAAAACGCTCGGAAAGAAAAACTGTTGAAACTAAACGGTGACCTGTAGGCGAAATTTTAAACTTTGAATTAAATTTTATCACGGGTTAAGCTACTGTTAACAAAACCATTGGTAATTTACTGATCCACCATAAGAATCATTGCTGATCTAATTAACATGAGGTATGACCATGATGCCATCTATAGGTTTTTAGTCGTAACTGTATTGTCAGGAGACATCAGGGTGAGAGACATTGAGGGCATAGCTATTTAGCGACTTTTAAACGAAATAATTTTTGCAGGAGGGACGGCAGTGCTGCCATCCAGCGGGTCCCCAGGCTCCGTATCCTTGGCGGACACTACGGATTCCGCTGAACTTAACCGATCGTTAGCGGACAGTGGACATTACGACGACCTGACTTCCCCGGCCACCTCTGCGAGGGTGAGTGAGCCTCATGACCGCATTATCGGCTGCCAACTCTGTTTAAGTGTGTCGTATGGTCGTATTTTAGTCCAGTGAATTACAAGTTGGGGCTGGTAACGGGCGATTGCAAAAAACAATGTCTATTCATGAACTTTCCGTTTCGTAACTTTCGCTCAAGATTAAGGGCATTTTATCTAACTCATATGATCATAGTCAATTGAAACTATTCCGTTTGGAAAATTCAATTCAGTTTTTTAATCGATTATAATGGTAGTTTGTATTCCATTTTCTCTGTATTTGTCAAATATGTAGTCCTATTGTTAATTTTGGTGCGGTTGAATTTTAGGCGCAGTCCATCCGTCAACGGTTGAATTTTTTTAATTCATTCCAGGATCCGTTTGATAATTCGAGCGTGACGACCTTGCATGAGCTCAGCAAGACGTCACCTATTAAAAAGTCTTCGACAAACCCAAAGTCTGACGTCATCAACGACGAATCAACGCCCAGAAGCGACGGCCACCGCGTCGGCTCCTTGACAAACTCCGGCGACGAGCGCGACGTTGGCGACAACGAAGTCAGCGACACCGACGATGAAATCGACGATGACGAAGAAGTGGAAGACGAACTCGACGAAGAGGAAGAGGACGATGAAGAATGGAGAGCCAGGATTGAATCAGACGTGGAAAAGCGGCTTCGTGTTGAGCACGAGCGCGAGGTGGAGCGTCTCAAGCAGGACCACATGGCCGATTTCCAGGAGCTTAAGGAGCGCCACAATGACAAGGTCGAGACGCTCCTCTGCAAGCTCAGCGACGCCAACCTCAGGTGAGTCAAGGACGGGAGTCGTTGGCAAAGGGTACAGACCAGCAGCGTGAAGTTGCATCAGTAACAAGAGGTGAAGGTGGTATCAATATCAAGGGGTGAAGGGACAGCAGTATCAAGGGGTGAAGAGGCGCCAGTTCCAAATAGCAAATAATGGAGAGAATGAAAAACAGTTATTGCTTTAGACCTTGAGTTGGCAATGTGACGATCTTGTTAGTGAGATAATTCTGGTGCAACCTCACAAAACTGCTCTTAACTGGTAAGGAGTCTCTGAATTCCAACAATTTAAAGCTCGCATCGGTAAGAACACTCACCTATAACTCTAGGATTTGATGCCTTGAGAATTCATCTATAAAGGCAGTTCTCCTCCAACGGGAGTACATGTATTCCCACAATGTACAGCTGAGTTTGTTGAGAGCCCTGACCCGTGTCCCCAGGTACTTTGAGCTGCGTCCCCAGCTGGACCTCTGCCAGGCGCGGGCGCAGCAGCTGGAGGGGGAGCTGGAGCGCGCTAAGGACGACCTGGCCGAGTCGGAGCGGCGGCACCAGAACACCTACCTGCAGATGTTCCTCAAGGGACAGCAGGCGGCGCGACTCCAGCATGAGAGCGAGGTGGACGGAGGGAGGGTTACATTCTCGACACGATGATCATTAAATAAAATCTCATAGTAACACTCATTGCAACACTTGAACCGATCAATTTATCTTCTGTGCCCTGTATTATTATGTTTTGTAATGATCATTAATTTTTCTAATTTATAAATGCGTAAAAACGGCATGGTGAAATTTTTAACTCCACATCAGCCTCAATATTTGATTGGCTGATACTTCGCACACTTTATCCTTTAATATATATTAATTGCTGAATTATTGCCCGCAGTGCACGAGCAGCGGTTCGAGGGACTCAGGACCTCCTGAGGGCGTCGAGGGCACCGTCAAGGGCCTCATGAGGGAGCTGGCGCATGCGCAGGATGAGCTACGCAAGCTTAAGGTGCGCCAAAGAATTCATTTCCCTGTTTTTCACACGCTAAAAGCACGGTAATTCAAGTTACCTATTATAACTCTCATTTACTTGGTTCGCGCCATTGCGGAAAAAATTTCGAATTTTGTGTTGGATTGTTGCGTTTCAACTGTCAGGTATTAACGTTAGAAATATAATCTACATCGGCTATAGAGGCTAGATCTTAATGACACAGTATGAAATTATTACATGACCTCAAACTTTCGACGCTAAGAGGCGTGAAGTCCAACCAAAAGCGTGAACTTGTACACTCTTGACTTTGAGTAAAACCTCATCACTTCATTTGTATCACGAAGAGACTGAACAATTGGTCAATAAATTGTCATGTAGCTAAAGCATCGCCATCTCCAGGCACAGAAAGCAGAAGCGAGGAAGGTTATCCCTACTGAAGAAGTTATGGACGAGCCTCACGATAACAGAGCCCTCCGTAACAACATCGATCCTTGCAACAACATCGATCCTCGAAACAACATCGATCCCCGCAACAACATCGATCCTGGTGTGACGTTGCAATTTCTCAAGTCCGCTATCTATTACTTTTTAACTGATAAAGACAATGCCAAAGGTCACCTAAGGGCCATCGTTAGCATTCTTGGCTTCAATGAGGCTGAGAAGTACGCGATAGTTCAAATGGTCAAAGTTTAGTGACGTCCTGCGAGTCGTTCACGTCGTCTCCTGGAATTTCTCTTTGAACCTTAAATTATTAGTTAATATTAACTTTCCTCTTCTTTGAGTCTAGTTTATTGCGTGTAATCAGTGCGAGTTTTGTGCTTCTTGTATACAACGGAAATGTCTTTGGTATTGGGTTTTGTTATTATTTTTTTAGAACGAAAAGATATTCTTTGTAGATAGTTGACTGCAAACAGTTTTATTTAGACTGTACATAGCCTCCGAAAAGGTTTTCAATTTTTTTTCTTGTAACCAAATTCTGAAAGACGTATCAGTTTCGCCACGGATACATTACAGTGGCAATGCTGCGATCGCAGCCTAACCAGCCATGACATACTTTTTGAGATGAATTATTTCTTAGCTTTAACCTATCGTATAATTTTTCTAACTTACAATGGTGCAATGCAAATACTCGAGTTGTGCAACTGTAAGGTATCCTCAACGAAAGGCAGCTCTACAGCGTAATCATTCACTCCTTAATGTTAACCTCCTTGGCATCTGTTCATTTTTTAACGCTGATAATAAAACAGGCACGACGGTTAGGTTAGGTTAGGTTAGGCCAGAGCCCTTGTCTTTTCTGGCAGTTTGAATTGGTCTACCCAGGATGTATATTCCTGACTGTACTTAATGTTATATCTATCATTCCATCACCGCATGTAGCTATTCTTGAATTATTCTTGTGATGCGAGATGATCTTTATTGAATTTTCGTTAACTTTTTCATATCACACTTTTCCTTCGAGGACTTGCAATTTCATGCAATTTTCCTTCGTCCAATTTGCACGAGGACTTCAGTGTTGACTTTATAGTGAATTCTATCGTAATTTTATCCAATTAATGAGAATAGTTTTACAGCGTTGTGCGTTGAGTTGTTACGTTTTTGTTTTCTCTGTTCCTATTAGACATGTAATTGGATACGCGTTATTATGGTTATCTCTATAGTCGTAAACTTTACAGATCATGGCAGGAGACCAAGATTATTAATTATTCTGCGACACGAAGAAGCTTGTGAACTTTACTCGCGTTTATCAACGACGAGTGTTGCTCATATCGTGTCGCAGCATTATAATGTGTCAAAATTACATATATCATAAGCTTATCTATAGCCACTATTTTTGAACTCGCTTCGCTCTCGACACTAACGGAGAACACAAAATCATATCAGTGTCTGCCGCTTTGAATGCTTCGAAGACGATATTTTTCTACGATCGATCAATAATTGCTATGCCAATAATCGAGCTTGAGAAGATCATCTAAATTTAAGGATCTTTCAAAATATAAGCTCTTGTTCAACCTCTACAGCTTGCGAGGGATCTTCACGCCATCGCGACTATTGGTTTTAATTACAAACACATTATCATGTTGTTCTATGCACTGAAGTGTCCTGCTGGTACGAAACTTGCAGAAATATTGTCCGCTTGAAGCTTAAAAAATTTGTTTGAAGGCGCATAAATTTCTTATTTTATAACGATCACTAATTGTGTATTGTTTGCCAGTCCTAAACTTGATCGGATTCATCTCCAATTCCTTCCCACTTTTTTGAGTAATTTTTTTCATATTAAAATGTTCTGTTCTGATGACTACAGGAAAATCAACGTTTAACGTGAGTAAAAAAAGATTTATTTGTCGTCTCCTGGTCGGTTTGCGAGATCAAGTTACATTGAAATAATTCATCTTAAATTCTGTATCTTTATTCGTAATCTGATGGCTGAGTATGAAGCAATTGTTTTGCTTTTATTGTATGGGAAAAAGTTTGTGTGAATTTAGTTTTTGAAGTAAAGAATATCACGTCTTGTAATGGAAGACATTGCGTTGCAATTATTGTTGTCGAACCGATAAAATTCAAGTCGACTACTTAATTTCGTCGCAGGCCTAGAAACTTTCACCGCCATGGCGTCCGTCCTTGTCACGAGTCGGTAACGAGGTCTCGTCACTTTGAATTTTCCTAGAATTGTTTGGTTTGATTTATATTATAATTTCTCTAAAGAATACAATTAAAATCTCAGTGTGTCAGTGGCACCGCATACTTTTTTGCCATTTTTGGGACTCGGGTATTCTATATCTCATTTGCTTCGAGAAACTTGACCTGCAATGTGGTTCGTTTCGCTCAATTTTGCGTTGTGTTGCCGAACATTGCTCTCGAACATGGAGCCGTAAATGGCCATCTTTTAAGACAGTTTCTCACTAGTCCGTGCAAATAGCTCGTAGATAATTAGGTTCTATGTTAACTAGTTACTAGCCTAACGTTTTCATCTTAGATGCCTTAGCTAATCGATCCTTGAAATTGAATTTAAACTTTGCGATTCTTATCGTAATTATTCTGCTCCGTCGTCCTGATAATTCCTGCGTTTTACTTATGCATTATCCTCGTACATGGTATCCCTACTAGCTTGTTTCTACCAGATCAGAATTTTATATCGTTTCAGAAAATTTTATTTATTATTACCACGAAGCCTCCTGAGCGAAAGTGTAACCCGCTGAACCCTATAGGATCATGAACGCGATAGTCCACCATTCCCCCAGAGAGATCCCCGAGTTCTACATACGAATAAAATTATACTTACCATAAACTTACATGAATTACATAATGAATGTGTATTATTGAAATCATTGGATGAAGTGAATCGTATGTCTTTTATTGCGCCGTGAACTTGATGTCCATCCAAGCTTCAAAGGGTTTTTGCTCAATGCTCGTCAATAGCCGCCGTTCCAACGTTAATGATTGCTCTGCATTTACACCTGGTAACTTCTAAATATTCTGTAGAGATTTATTATTCCAACCTATCTGATCGCATTCAACGTTCTTGTGTATCGTTCATGTCAATAATTGCTCCAAGTTACTTATTTTTGATAACGCTAAGCCTGTTTTGCTTCACTGTCGTTTGGCGACTTTGCATTCCTTTATCATTTGCCTGTGGGGCTCCGATGTGTTGCAACAAATAAAAAAAACACACCTAGTTTCACAGAATTCTTCCTGGTGACAACAGGGGATTAATATTCCGGATTTATGAACATGAATTGATTACTAGACTTTTGCTTTATCTTTTCAGTCGTCTGTTTTTTTTTCAAACGTAGTTTCTACGATATTTTTCTTTTACTGCATCCTACCATTGCCCTCAATTTTATAATATAGCTTCGGGGGAACGTTGGAGTCATACTTATTTAACTATTGGGAATATTTGCTAGAGTTCTTTAATTATGCAAATACATCTTTGTTTCAATTCTCAGCCGAACTTATCAATGTTCGGGAACTCAGAGGCGTGATTTGCTCATGAATTCAAAGGTTACAAAATAGTACCAACGACATCTTAAATCCTGCAGCTAGCCCCAATTCAAGTTTTATTATTAACTTTTAGACAGAAACAAAATTTTGAAAAAAAAAAATTTCCAATCAATCGTTAGAGCTTAAAATCGTCGTAACGTTTTTAAGTATATGGCGTCCTCGTAGTTGAGTGTTCCAGGTAGTTGTGTAGTCGATGGTTAGGTTCTGTGATGTCGTTGTGATGATTATCTGGTAGGAAACTCATTAAAAAGAATAAACTGTAGCATTTCTCTTCTTTTGTAACGTGTTTTATTCTCCGTTGCAAAATTTTCCCATTTACAGGCGTCAGACATTGAGCATTGTGCTACTCAAGCGCGCACGTTTTACGATGCCAGGGAATTAATTTTGTAATTTATAGGTTGAATTAGATTAACACTGTCAGATGAAGAGGTATTATTGCTGCCAAGTACAAGCCAAGCAATCCGAACACAAGGCCATGACATCCACTATATACTAATTTTTATCGAGGCGAATATTATCAGAATTAGAGAAAATAAAAAGGAAAGTACCTTGATCCTACGTCCTGGGATAAAATGAAGGTATTATTTTTATAGAGATTTTTCAATTATAAACGTCGAAAATATTAATGTCGCAATTGACCGAAATGCACTGCATTGCAGGCGATGAAACTACAAGACAACGATCGTTCGAATGGCCACCACTAGAATTTAACCATCTTAGAAAATCTTTGGATAATCTCAGATAGAAATCGCAGTGCGCTTTAAAGTCTTAACTGATTTATTGGCCGCATTCATGAAACTGATTTGGAAACCTTACAACACCAATTTAATAGAGACATGAGGGGGTAGACTATTGAACAATCTACCTTGATTTTAATAGTTTTGTGAATTTTATCGTTATTCAAATAAATTCTTTGGGTCCATGTCATCAGTTATTTTTCTTTTCGAACGAAAAAAATGTTAAAAGCATTTCGTTTATAGAAACTTGTGTAAAGTTTAAGTAGCAACACTAATATTGTAGGCGTTGCAGAACGTCAAGTGCATTACTTGAAATGTGACTCAAAAGAGCTTGTAAAAAATTGAAACCGTCAAACAACAGCATTTACAATAGCAATGGCACTTAAGATGTAAAAATGTTACTAATACTAGTACCTCAGGATACCACTTGGTGTTTTTGAAACGCGTCTTAAATGACGCGTGAGAATAATTAAATATTGTTTGTCTCCTGATAACATATATACTATGAGATGGATAAGATATGCAAACATGGGCAAAGCATGACAGGATAGCAGGGACGTGGATGATAGCGGCTGACAAACATGTTTGCGTAGTATGGACATATTAGTTAGGGGACAGTTACCCTGAGCTTCGGTTGACGTTGCAGTGCCAATTAACCTTCAATGGCTTCTTTACAAGATTAACATTAATACAAATTAATTTTCATCAAAGATATCAAATTATAATATATGCAGAGGAGCTGCAATGCTTACAGGTAACTTGAACTAAAAGAAAAATGAGAGGCGTGAAGCTAAAAAAAATTTCAAGGAGTCTTCTATAAAAGTTTTCTTTGAACGGTAGAAAATACTTGTGGACTAATTTCATGGAGTACTATTATATGCTAAGTCGTGTCCATATAAACTGGATTCATGTATTTCTTGAACGCACTAACATAAACAGAAAATGGTAAAACTTAAGCTACTATTCCGAATGCATAACGATTTGGTGTCATTTACGAATGAAATACATTTGCGCAATGCGTAAAGGTAATTTGTTGTCAATATTGACGCTGAGTGAGCCTGAGTCGTGGGCACTCATGACCATGAGTCCATGACGGACGGACCCGAGTGATTGAACCCTTTTTTTAGGGTGTGTAAAAATTACTAAATGATTATAAATCTCCAGCAGAGCGCATATAAAATAATCGATGATAGAAAGCTACATTGGTTATTCCTGTTACCATACGCTTTTTTAATAGTCACCAATTCAGATTGACATTATTTTAATGTCAAAATCTTGGTAATCTTCCAATGGTGAGCGAAAAATTTTACTGCTTAATTTCTGCAAAAATGTCGAGCTTAGACATTTTTAGACCTATCCAGTTTGATATCGCCGAGGCATCGCCGAAACATTCACATCAATCTAATCTCAAATAAAATAAAATTTGCCGTCATCTATATGTCACAGGTTGTAAATTAACTACAAACTATGATATTTGATTTTGAGCTCTTTATATTAAGCTCTACCTGAGGATCGGGTTCTTTGTTGACTAAGGTAGTGAGGGATAAGTAAGACACATCAGTCCAGATAACGTATCTTGTATACGGGGCGGTAATACAGAGTTGCGATACAGAGGTATAAGTTACGGCATCGACCGCAGGTCAAGTGAATTGGCCCCGGACATATACCGACGTCGATTATACCGGAAATCTTTCGTGGTGGTATATGTACAGCTGGCATGATTTAGAACACGTTTTATTTTTGTTGCCATGAAACCATGTCACGAGGTTGACTGTAGAGCAATTTTAAGATCAACCTGTAAACGTGAAATATATCCTTTTGGCCGTAACTCATTTGAAGCGATTTCAAACAAAAAAATTAACGATTACGTATGAATGTATTTTTTTTAGGAAAATACACAGAATACAGTAGTCAGCTTGACAACACAATTAGGAAATTCCCATATAAACGAAATTCGCTGAAAAAAATTATTCTTAAAATTTTAAAGGAAACTTTAATTCTTCCCTTAAAAGGAACAATGAAACAAGTAACCGGAAGATGGACAATCAAACTCTAGAATAAATATAAATAGCTTGACTGCTCTTACCATTAGACTTGAAAAATATAATATTATAGTGTTCGAGAATCACTTCCAGCAGATTGAAAAGCTTGTAATATGACTTTTTTTGCTAGATTTACCTGTTTATCAGCACCTCACCGCTAAAATATTCTGACAACATCGAAAAAGATAATAAGACAGCCCTTCAGATATGGTCGTATGAATTTTAAGACCAGGCGTTAGGTCATTCTGCAACTTTTACAGATACGATACTAGTGTCACACAAGTATTTTTTAATGCAAGTCACTTAGTACGGTCCAAATATCAAGCTTCGGTGTTGCATTGATGTTTGACATTGAAAATTGTTTAAACGGTAAACATATTTTAAACAAACCAGTCATCTATACTTCATATTTTGTTGAGTTTAGACGTTTTTTCGGGGCAGGTTATGCTGACATATTTTTTATCAGAAGGTTTTGTTGAGCCGAGTCTCCTCGCCCTAGGGTTGTCGCCCATGACAGGTTCAAGGACGGACGCAACCTCTTGGTAACCTCAGGATCATTTACGGTTGCCTGACCGAAGATTACAATGCTTCCGGATTGAAATGGCCGACGCGAAAACAATGGCCTTGTCAAATGCGGTGCCTCGGGGCTGAAAGTTTGGCAGGAGCCTCGGCAGTGAGCAGCGACTGTTATCCTTTAAGTGGAGATTCCACTTGTCATTTGTAGCCTCGTTTGATTCGTTAGTGCACGCAATAGTACATGATTTTTTTTAACTCGTGACAATGCATTTAAATTCAATTTTTTCTATATAGTATGTATCCATTACAATATGAGCATTTCGTGAGCGTCGTTAATGTCGAGATAAGATGAGACGAAACTCGACATTATACGCTAAATACTGCCGACAATGTGAATTTCCCTCCAAAATATTCGGGAAATACCAAAAAGGTGCTATGTAAAAATGTGAATTCTATGACAAAAATTAATGCCTGAATGGGTTTTTAAAAATGTTTAAAACTTTATTAGTCGTCTCGCTTGTTGCTGAAGATTCCTTGGTACATAAAGAGCAACAGATTCGAGTACTATGACTAAATTTACTGTTGCACTAATGTAAGGTAAATACCGAAGGAGAAAGAAAATAACTCTGACCGAGGTCATTTATTTCGACGTATTTTAATGCAATTTGATTGTAAATACATTACTCATTCTCGAAGCATGAGATGCAACGGAATTAATGTAGACGCTTGAGCATTACGTCCTTCGATTGTAAGTCAGCGGTAAGATGTACATTTTGTGATATCTTTGGAGCTAAGCTTCGGGATTGTCGGATCGACGAGTTAGATCAAGCAGACAAGAAGCCGCCAATGGAGTATTATTAAAACATAAATTTAATTTTTGTTTTATCGGTACAAGAGATTCATTGAATTGATCGGCAAGCGTCACAGAAAAAGGCAACAAACACCATCTATCCTTGAAAGTTCGGCTGACACTTATACGACATGTAATAATGGAAAATAAAAGTAAACAATGAGAAACAGCGCCTTAAAGAATTCAAAAACTTTAAAATTTACAACTTAAAAAAGTGAAATTTTCAACGTATAGAAGTTACAAAATTTGTGCATGTATGCCGGGACATCTGCAAAATTCGAAATTCGGTTCAAACATTATTTTTCCGAAGAAATTGAAGTTTTTATGCTTTCAAAATTTAAGAAGTATTGCCACTGCTACATGAATAACTATGGCTTGATGAGTGCATACTTCTTTGGCACACAATTGAACTAAACAACACAAATTGTTGAACAACATTCCACTGGCTATCACTAAGCTTATATTACCAAGCTCTATCTTGAGGCCAAGCTGCAAATGAGGCATAACAAAACAAATATATTTAGTACCCGCCAATCGATTTACCAACAATAAAATAATGCCTATTTTAATTATCTATATAATATAGTTAAAAATTCGAGGCGCCGCATCGCTAATTCCTCGAAACAGTCGATAGGAAGGAGGAGACAAATGTTCCCTTCTTTAAACAGCATGTTAACCCATTAATGCCGAGAATTATTTTCTGACTTTTTTTATTTCCTGTGAGAATATTATCACTTGTGACGGTAGTGAGTAAAAAATATGTTCCAGTAATCATTTTTCGTCGTATGTGAAAAATTATGTCTTGATTCCATTTGGAACCGGGCTACATATTTCATGATCTAAATGACTTTAGAAACATTGTATCACTTAAACCATATACAGCATTAAAAGTGCTCACTTTATTGATAAAATTCTGCATCCATCTCATAAATAATAAATTTTTGAACAAATTACTCACTTTTCATCAAAGCTATGATATCAAGCTGTCCTATCTGACACCTGGTCTTTATAATCTTTGAATGTTTCCTAAACCGGGAACAGTCAGCGCAGCAGAACCAAACTTTGCCAGAACATAAACAAGATGTGTATCAAACATACACATCCACTTGTATACTTATTTGATCATACAATTTTATTATGTATCAATTTTTCCTGCTGGTTCCAAATGGAACCACTCGGCATTAATGGGTTAAGGATGAAACAAATGTTTCCTCTTCAATATAATGACTGCTCAACTTGCTTCATTTGATTTAATCAGAGATTTAAATGCTGATTTGCTTCTATGAGTACGGAGTTTATTCGTAGGTTACGTCGGCATTGAAGCCGTTGCCGTTATCGTAGTATGTTACGACCTGAGTACGGCCGTCGGGGAGCAATACTTTGTACTGGCCTCGCATCTGAAAACAATTCCAGGAATTAAAACGTGCAAAAAATTATACCGCGACTTAAATTAAAGAAATTATAAATAAATAATTATACTTAACCATACCATGAATGGATTGTGTTCAGAAAGGGAAAGATAATATATCATTCATTTACCTAAATAGCTTGGTATAACATCTTTCAAGCATCGAAAAGATATGAATTCAATAATGCGGGGAGTAATTTTATGCACAAGGCCTACAACCAATCGAGGCAATATTGGCAGCGACACAAAATTGTGAAACTAAAAAGCAAATTTCTTTCTAAGGGCTTGATTTTGACACGAATTAGATTATTTTAATATCGATTTTGTCCCAGTAATTCCCCTTAGAGGACGAAGTTATCGCACGCAACTTCGTCCATAAGCAAATGTAGCCGTTTTAACTATTGGTGCGCATGGTCGATAAACTTGAACCAACTAGTTTTGTGATATTTTCTTATGAAGACTTTCAATCAGGATGCAAAGAATAATTTTTATAAAAAAAGTGTAGTACTTCGAAATGTTTTCAGCTTTTATTTGTATAATTCTGTAAACTTCTTACACTGACTTTTAGACTCCTGCTGCCTGAAACCTATTCTGCACAAATCGAAACTTCCCTACAACTCTTTTGAACAACAAATGATATACCTTTATGAAACATACCTTAAACTTCATATTAACTACTGAAGACTTCTTTATATGTATCTATTTATATTGAGTTTTCATCAGTTAGGGTCGAAATAACAAGAAACATAGACACTGACCTCGTTGCCATCGTGCGTCTCGTGTCTGTTGTAGTGGTTGCCAGAGTCGTCGTCGCTGACGCCGTAAGCGAAGTCGTACGGCATCCCGAACATCATGGCCTTCGAGGGCGGCGGTGTGGTCGTGGGCCGGGGTAGCTGCACGGCGGCAGAAAAAGAAAAAATAAAAAAAATAAAAAATTACAAATTATTATTTAAATAAAAATAAAAAATTACAACGCAATAATTGGTTGTATGTATACAAAACTAATGATTTAAGAGAATTCGAGGAACATTTTATAACAAAATAGATTAGATAATTTTAAAATTAGATAATAAAATATTAAACTTTCGATATATATATATATATATATATATAAAATTTCTTGATAATTATTTTCTTGACTTAATTTTAATCAGAGAAAAAGTTGAAACTTTATTGCTTATGAGATGAACACAATTTTTTTTTAAATTTCGTTCAGTTGCGAGTATTTTTAAACGGATTCCAGGAACAAATGTTTGATAATTCCTGTATTTTAGTATTGACTTCTAATGTATGTATGACAACTTCTATATAATATATATAAGAAGACTTATATTCCCATGTAAATAAAACAACTTTGATACTCAAGTATACAAGAAAACTTATATACTCATATACAGTATATATGTATGATAACTTATAAACTATGTATAAAGGACAAATTTTGATTGGCCACATTAATCGCTCACCAGGTTCGGCACAAAGCGGTTCTCCTGTGGAGTTTCGTACAGACCAGTCGGGGGAGGGGGAGGCGGGCGTCGCTGTGAGAGGAATAAGGAGCAAAGATATTGTTTAATTCAGAATTTTAAATTAAATACTGAATTTTGCCTACACTACAGTATTATAGAAATTACTGTGGTCGTCTTCACAGAGAGCACTCAGAGCAGTATTAACAGACAGTAGTATTTACTGCAATTCTCACAATAAGATATACTAACGTAATCGTGGTCTAGTAATTCCGTGAACGACTAAAACTATTCGTTCTGTAAGCTGAGCTCTATGGAATCCGTGCTTGAGCAACAAATAATGATTATTATATTGAAATTAATCAATTATAATAATTACAATAATAATAAATAATAATATTATAATATAATTGGAATAATAATAAATATATAATATTAAAATTAAGCAAATTCAAACAAAGACTCAAGGTCGTGGTCTGTTCTCTCTGGGGGGTCTCGTACAGGCCGTGGGGGGGAGTAGGGGGCGTGGGGGGTGTAGTAGGGGCCTAATAAATGAAATAATATAATTATCATTCCTTGATTTAATTTGTTTTGATTTATTGATAATCAAACAACTGGTAAGAAAATACAGCAACTCAATTTACAGGTCTCATGATTTCGTGGAACAAAAAAAAAAAAAAAAAGCATTTACGTCCATGTTTATCAATAAGGTTGCGTAAATAAAATAAGTTTATTCAACTACTGAATGATACAGTTCATAAAACTAATGAAAAGAAGCACATATCATTAGGCATTTTTAAAATTCAATCATACGTATGATACATATCAATTATACATATCATACAGGTCAATCATATATATCATACATGGCAACATACATATCATGCATGTCAATCGTACATATCATACATGTCAACCATACATATCGCAATAATATCAACGATAACTGATTCATATGGAAACTTATTCAAACTTTAGCTTATTATTTACGTAAATTTATCTCAGTGAATCAGTTCAATAATTGTAATAAGATCGAGCTTGTCAATCATCCATGCGGAGACTCACCCTCTGGGGGATGGGTCTGTACTGGACGGGGGTCTCGTAGAGCCCCGAGGGAGGGGGTGGGGGAGGACGTCTCGTGGTGGTGGTGGTCGTGGTGGTGGTTGTGGTGGTTGGTGGCTGCCGATAAGTTTTGGTTGAGTACCGTAATTTATTTATATAGAGTTAATTCTTAGAGCAACATATTAGGCACTCTGGTGCTGCACATAAAGCACTCTGGTGCTGCACATAAAGCACTCTGGTGCTGCACATAAAGCACTTCTGGTGCTGCACATAGAGCACTTCTGGTGCTGCACATAAAGCACTCCTGGTGCTGCACATAAAGCACTCTGTGCTGCACATAGAGCACTCCTGGTATGCTGCGCATAAAGCACTCTGGTGCTGCACATAAAGCACTCCTGGTACTGCGCATAAAGCACTCCTGGTACTGCGCATAAAGCACTCTGGTGCTGCGCATAAAGCACTCCTGGTACTGCGCATAAAGCACTCTGGTGCTGCACATAAAGCACTCTGGTGCTGCACATAAAGCACACAAGCTGGAAATGTAATTGAAGTTCATGACTGAGTTGCTGAGATCCACGTAGCCAGGAACAGTGGCTGCATTGCTGACACTAATTCTTCGTTTTAATCCAATCATTTCCAAACTATAAATTTGACACATGATGACAAATAGGTGGCTAGTTTGAGGCGTGTGCTTCTTTAAAATAAAATTCATTTATAAATCACTACTCTCAGAACAGAAAATGTGACGAATTTCTGTTCTGAAATAATAAAAATAGATTTTGTAAAGTCATGAATATTAGCACCTGTTCTTGTAACCGAGGTTTATTACGCATAATATTTTGCTTGCATTTGCGCACTGTAGGCACGCGAGACTAGGAATGTCCAAATAGCCTTGGTGACCTTGCCCAGTTAATGTATTCGTCAAACACAGACTTAACAATTTAATCCGAAGTTTTAAATGCAGATCTAAGTAAATAATCAAAAATTCACATTCAAATTTTACTAAATAAAAGAAAATAGCATTAACAGGTTCAAAATAATGAACATAAATTTTTTTCAGCAAATAAATCACAAAAAATTTTCAATATAAACATGAACAAAAATGAATATCATGTTTGGTGGAGAGCTTGTTTACTCGACAAGGTCTTCAAGGCTGTCAAGACAGGCCCAAGTTCAAAAGAAACTAAACATGATTCTACTGACAAATAATATTGTGAACCCATAATTGATTAAATAAATTCTTAATTATCTTGTCCACTTTCTTGTCATTATCGTCAGCTACGATGCATAAAGTATCGAGCTAACTATAGTTGAAAAGTTGTTTACAAAAATAAGTCTCGACACCTGCGCGAATACTTGATGCACTGCCCAAATTAACCCTTCGCATTCAGTTCAATTTATATAATTTATTGTAATTTGATTATCGCGATCGTGCTGCTGCCAAGACCTATACATGGAAAACATCGCTACCTAGCGCTGTGAGAGAGCGACCTGTAAGGACCTCATAGTTTGTGAGCATCCCACACCTGCTTGACTAGTGATAAAAAATAGGAAGATGTGTGAATCATTTATTGGGCTCTGAAGATGCCCCAACACGGGCAGGTTTTAACTACGCGTGGGCAGAGCATCTCTGCAGTGCAGCGTTTGCCTTCTCCATGCAACGAGTCTCATTGCAAATCTTATTACCTATCTTAGCTGCGTGCCCCCCTTCATCCTGCGCTCCCTTTAGGCATGGGAGTGCCAGAGATGGAGTTTGTATAACTGCAGTTGAAGAGTGTATGCATAAGCCGAATAAAATCAAAACTTATACTACACTTATTTGAGAGAACAATAAATGATTATTTGATTATACTGTTGAGAGACGAAATTTGTTAAATTTAGGGTGAAATGAAGCCACCCGAACTCGATTTCATTGTCAAAAGCAATGTTAAGAACCATCTGAAATTTTTATCAAAATTGGATCCAACTTCAGTTGAAGTTTAGAAAGAATGTTCGAAGCAAGAAAATTTCATACACAACAGGCAGCCAAGGCAGAAAAACTCTTTACGGAATCCGGGTCTCCTATGATTGTCGCCTGCGCAAATTATAAATAATCAAACGATACTTTTCCGGCATTAGACGGCAGATTTTCATAGGTTGTAATTAAAATTTTAGGTAATAGAAGCAGAAATAGGATAGAGTTTAACGCAGTGATCAACTAGTAGTACATAGTTAGTTGTTGTTTTGTTGTAAAATAAACAACGTGCTGCAATTATCGAAGCTCCACCAATAATTTTTAGCTGGTTGGGAAGTTCTAATTCATTCAAATTAATCTCTACTCCAATATCCGACACGAAAGTATGTCGTCATTGCATATTCATATATCAAGGGGAGCCTTTTTATCAGCATGGTTGTATTGAGAGACTAAAAATATGATAAATAATTTTTCCAAATTTATGGCATTTACACCTTGGCATTTAAATTCATATCTGGCAGTAAGGCTACTCACAACTCGAATATAAAGATACTAAGACAAAACCAATTATTCCATTTGTTCCTTTTTCGACCTTCCTCATATTTTGCTCCAAATAATTTTGTCCCCGATAGTTATGTTTTAGTACCTCTAGCACTGAAGGTATCGCAATGATTCAAATAAAGTGCGTGATATACGTGGCTATGCTAAGTTTAGGGCCAGCGTTCAATGCGGAAGATCTCTGCAAGTTAACCGGAGAAAAAGTCAGGTAACGGAGCTGCGCTCAGTCTGGAAAGGCAAATGAGGAAATCCAGAAAGAAGAGCTCGAGGTTTGCTCCCCTCCTGACCGACCGTGGCCTTGGCTAGGGTGTGGGTAAGGCGCGTAGGTTCTCGCCCTTCCGTAACAGGATGGCCAATTGCTCTAAAATATTGACTACGATTTCTGGGGTCATAAATCGGTGATTATTAACCTTAATTAAGCGATTTGGATGCATTTGAGATCCCTTAACAAGTTTTGTGAGTTTGTTCTCGAGAAAGAGAAGTAGGGCGACGTTGATGTTGTTTTAATTTATTTCGATGCATCATTTATCCTTCAAAAACAAAAAATCCTTCTCTTAATCCTTCAAATATTGAAGGAAAATTTATTTGTCAGGCTCTCAGCTATTCAGCATTGAAAGCGATTAACGTGTCCGTAGACATCGATTGAAAAATATCATTTAAGATTTCCAAAGACTCACGTCATTGTTAGCAGCCGTTCAGTATCTCATGGTGTTCAGCACAACAGTAAAATCGATCTAACATTTTCTTGTCAAATGAATGATTCCTTCAGTTAATCATTATATAAGTACCGAATAGCAACATTTGCATACCGCTCGATTGTTCTTACTTCCAAGGTTAATAACAGAAAATTGTAGCCTTTTCGACGGATGGTACGACGACTAATGAGGAGATAGATTGAGTTGAACAGCAGTTAAGTAATCGGAATACACAGGAGGATTGTGACCATGGAAATAAAGTTTCCTCTGATCTGATACGGGAATGAACTCTAATCAAGTCTGCAGACAATCAAGCTCTATATGTTTCTTATTGCGATAATTTAACCTGCAGTATTAAAACATTGTTAATTATTTCAAGTGAACTATAAAATTCTGATCGATTCTTGCATACGTTGAAATATGACTGTGAATAAATATGTCGAAATGTGAATAATTATTGCCTCGGAGCATTTTAAATTGCAATAACGGGGCTTGATATTAAAAGTAAAAAAAACTCATGAAGAAGACGCACTACAAACTTGGCCCTCAAAAGTTAAGGTCCTAAATAATCACGTCCACCAAGTGTGCACCGAATAACTTATCGCTTTATAAGCCATAAAAGGATCTGCGCCGCGGCAAGTAAAGGCGTCACTAGAGGTGCATTCCCTACATACACATTGGAGGCATCTGAGCACAGTTGCGGAAGGCGGAAATTCCTTCGTGAATTTTGTTACATCATAAGGGGATTAATTAGAATATGTTTTTGGAAAATAGATTAATTTTCGATTGTACATATATTATACCAAACGAATCAATCCGTTTATTTTGAAAAATGTATTATTTTGGATTTTGGAGTAAAGTTTATTAATTTTTTTGCTTTCTCCACAAGGCTTCATACGTATACGTCGTAAATACATGATCATTGTACTATAAAATATGAAATCTATGGTCACCGAAAATAGTGGATTTGTCAACAATATGGAGCTAAAATTTCGTCTATAACAAAAGATGCATAATCCATCACCATAACTGAGGAAGTACGTGCACCAAAAATGTTTGCTCCTGATGTTACTTTATTAGTCTTGACTCAGGACCAGGTCTCCCAGGGTCACTGGAAGCTACGTGTCTTGAGCTGGCCTTCAGTTTTGCTATGAGAAATAATGCGAGGTTCTGCATCCTTTATGAGCAGATGCCCCTGGCGCAAATGGAGTGGTCGAGTCAAGCCTGTCATTACCTCGCACACCAATCGCGAGCTACAAATAAATGATTTTCTGATGAGTTTTCATACGGTACCGTTTGGGTGAGACCATGAAGAAGCTTATGCCATAAGATTGCGCACAAGCAAACGTGTTGCACTCCTCGCACATTGAGGTAAATATGTGTAAGGAATAATTCGCTTTAAATTCTGTTTGGTATTCATCACTGTACATGTGATCTGAAGGCTGGAATAGTAGGAACCTGTTCCCAATTGACATGGGAAAGATTTAACTCAAGATTAGTTGTGGGATAAACATAGACTAACTGAGGTAGGGTGGTAGCTGGAAGGTAACACAGATGCGTGGTTCATGTCCACGTGAGGAGAAGGTTCAACTTACAGGGCGAAACTTCATTTTATGTGGGAACTGAAAAGACCCGCAATGACGACGTGAGAGGTTAGGACTTTGCTTTGCGGCGCAACGTAATGACGAAACTAAACTTTGTTTCGTACACAACATATGAACATGTAAGTCTTGCTTACTGCTGCTATTCATGTACAAGAATGTTGATAGTAATGTAATGACTGGTGTAAGTTCCTTCCAGTAAACAAATTTTCTGTTTCTTTCACTCCAGAACGAACATATGTTCACAAACAAAATAGCATATACACAGCTGATAGCAGAGCGAAATTATATTAATAATTCACACTTACCTGATAGAAGTTGAAGGGTTTCTGAGGTGGGTTGTAGCTATAGCCTTGATGGGTGGGAGTTTCGACTGGAGGAAGGTAACCGAGGTTCAGTGATGCGCTGTTCGGTAACAAACTCTGCTGGGGAAACAAGTTACTGCTAGCAGGCTGTTGTGGTTCGTTGAAAATCGCCTTAGCCCCAAAATCAGTGTTTCCTCCAATTGGAGAGTTGCTTCCTTTTCGTGGAAATTCGTTTTGCTGTAGGCTGAAAATGCTATTGTGGCCCCAGACAGGAGGTGTCAACTGATTAGGTTGTTGGAGATTAGCTCCCCAGATGCCGGTGTCGTGGAGGCCCGCCTTGAAGCCTCCCCTTGAGTGCTTGTGGGCGTTTGTGGCTCCACTCAAGTGGTCCAACTTGGCTGGGCTGCCGACGGCGCTGCAACTCAACGCCACCAGCGCCACCGCAGACAACACGCATCTCTGTACACCGTGTGAAAGAGGAGTTTATATTAATAAATGTCTTGCAATTTTCACTTGAGCTGTGAATATTTCAGAAACTTATTTTACAATAATTTTGTGTTTTCAAAATAAAGAATTCAAAGCTCAGAAAATCATCTTATATTGACCGAGTAACACGTTCTCAATGAAGATTTTGATGATAAAGATATTATTGTTGAATGGTAAAATCTAACCAGGAAGATTCACATTGCCATCTTTTATGAACTTGTTCAATAATATTGTTATAATCTCAATGTATTATTAATGTTATGATTTAAAACAGTATTATCGCAGTGAAATTTCATTGTTAAACATGATTCTAATGTAAGTGTGATGAATTTTTATCGTAGATTTGTTCAAACAATATTTCCTCATCACTTGTTACGTTGAATCAGTTACTAAGCGGAACAAATAGCAGGAGCTTGTTATAGAAAGTTAAAAACGTTCACCGGTTTGTACTTGTGTTTAGAAATGCCAAGTAATCCCACGATCCCTAGTACTTGTGAGCACCTTCCCCAACATAAGAGGATTGGGATTAGTTCAGAACATCGACGTTGTTTGGGCAACAGGTCACGACCTCTCAACGAGAAAATCAGGCACGTAAAAATTAGCAGTGATCTAACATTATTTGGACTGCCTTCTCTTGAACTATGAATACAATGAGGCAAGCAGTTTGGCTTTTGGGTACTGCATGATAAAAGTAGAACCTCATTGATGCTGCAAACAAAATGCCTCTCAAATGACCACTTATTTCAATTCAAGAGGAAATAATTCTAAATTCACAGCAGCTTGCATTAGTATGTTATATTAATTTTGTCTGTATTGCATATATAGTCAATAAAACATTTTATTACCTTTTTTACAGTTGCAATCATGTATAACATAACTATCGGCAAGCACGCATCGGAGAGTCTAACACTGACTCGATGTCTTCCTATAGGGCATATCACCTCCATCAATGATAGGATAAGCACGTCGTGTCCTTATATAGTCCCTAGCTATAGATTACATGCAAGTTTTAATTCTAATTAGCTTCATTGTTTGCTCATTGTATGTCTCGTTCGGACGTGCTCGAATTGCTTTGAATTAGATAAAAGTTTCCGTAACCCTTTTCGTTAAAATAATACTAATATATCACTCGAATAAAGGAATGCCTTCAAATAATGCTGCGGTGAAAGGAATGCTTCAATTAATTTAACCAATAATGAATGAAAAAAAATTGAATATCATTTCAGTTTAGTTGTAGGAGCAAGATTATTCATTGGGATAACTCAAATATCGTTTTCTTTAATTCTGGTATACCTGCAAGTTAATATAAGTAACGACAACCATGCATATAATGCGGATGCCCTTTTGATTCAAGGGCTTGACACATATAACCGATGAATGAGCATTGACATTCATATTAATCAATTGGAATGGTACAAATATTGATAATTAACTGCATTTAAAAATATATATATTTACTTTGTTGCATTGGAAAATATTTTTTTAATGGATGTCGAAAATATTCTTATATCATAGATTGCACGACAAACGATATAGCGACATGAATATTACTTAGTTCACGGCCCGGGTAGGTGACTAGGTTGAGTTATGTGCTGCTAGTATTATTAATAAGTTAGACTTTTCAAGCATTTATGCCCAAATTAGACAGTTATGGGAAACCTTTGGACTTCCGTGACACCTACTGCCAGTCTCGTCCTTCTTCTTGTCCCTAAAAGTGAACTTCAAGGCGATAGGCTCCACCCTAAATCTATCTTCCTGGATGACGAGCCTTAAATGCTCTCCCCATTGATGAATTGGTAATGGAAATTACAGCTTGAACTTAGAAGCTCTGATAATTATTGATAAACTGTCACCAATTGCAAGCTGTCATTGTGAAAATGTGTAAAGTGTAACTTTATCCTTGTGTTTCAAATTAAAACATTGGACGAAGTACGATGAACGGAATTATTTTAAAGATTGAATTGAATATTTTTCCATAGCTATTAAAAAAACTACGAATATTTTAATTTTGTAAAATAATGTGTTTTTTGAATACAGTAAGAATAAATGCTTTCATCCATGCAAGTGATTTGTTTATAAAGTATATAGTAGTTACATCTCAGCACCTAAATGTACTAAATTACCATTAGAGAAGAAAGTGAAAATTATACACAGTAACACTTCATTTACCACCGTTGCTCTCGCCAAGGCGTCGGTATCTGTGCGTCTAGGCACGCACGCCTGAACGCTAAGCAAGGCTATCACGGCCAGTTTAGCACTTCATTGCATTATGGCGCAGATGAGATCTTTGACCGAGCGCGCGCACTGCACTTTCATTTGACCGGCGCGCCGAACGCGTTTCCTTTGTTGACTCTCGTGAGCCTGCATTACGAACGCGCTGGTTTTTAGGGTATGCATGCATCTAGTATCTACAGGACGGATGAAAGGTGCACATGCTTGCACCCTGCTCAGGAATGCGAATCACTTTCAACCTGATTACGAAATTCCTATATTCAAACTCCGCAAACTTATGCTCCGAAAATAATGAACAAGTTTAGGAAGTGAAGTGTTTTACGGAATACCGAATAGTCAAGCCATCAGTCGCGCATGATGGATGAGGCGGTTGCATTCTATAACAACAGCATTTTCTCGCAGTTATTTGTGCTGAGCAACTTGTTTTAGTTAATTGTGCTCGCTTACATTCAAGAATATTTAAATTAGATCATGTAAAGATTTACTCAGAATTCGGAGAGAAAACCGGCCCAATAATTTATGCACATCACTCTAGATTTTAGATTTAAGGCAAATTTGAACTTATTCTTTCTTTATTCTTTCTTTATTCACAGAGGAGCAGACAAAAAATATACATAACAAGAGACCATCGAAAATTTAAAGAAAAAAATACAAAATGCTTCCTTGTGAATGCCTATATAAGCTAAAAAGCTTCACAGGCGTCATAGGCGAAATTACTCTCAATAGAACAATAACATGAATGATATTGAGATAAGTCAATAGGGAACAGAAAGTGCCTAAAGTAAAAACATCCTTATAAACTAGCCTTTAATAAAACTGATATGAGAATACGCAGCTTGGCGACTAAAATTGAATATAACAAAGGCAATAACAACCTATACCTAAAAGACAGATCCAACTAAGACTAAAAGTCAAAACAATGTTGACTTACGCCATAATATTTATCAAAGATCTTATTAAGAAAGGCAATTACTAAAAGCGTACATGATAATCGAAGTCAAATTAATAATGGGTAAGAATAAAATCGCGGAATTTAGTCTTTAGAATGAATTTAGAACAATCTACTTTAAACTCATCAGGCAATTCATTAAAATATTTTACACAATTAAAAACTGTACCGTTTCTTTCAATTTCTAACCGAACTGGGGGTAAGTTAAAACGCATGCCTCTGGTGTCATGGGAATGTTGAGGAACAAGAGAGGCGAATGCAGAATTAAAAAGACGTTCATCATGGAAAAGTGCCCTATTCATGAATTTTAAAAGCTGAAATTTGTACATATCGTCAAGTTTTAAAATTTTCGACTGTTTATATAACACACTAGTACGAGTCAATGGGATATTGTTTTCGTCGTACCTAACCCGAAATATTGTACGCAACGATTTATTAATTAAGGTGATGACCCGTTTCTTTGAATTAAAAGGTACCCCACCCCAGATTAGCAACGTGTTTGATAGTTTAGATAAGGACAATGAGCAAAAAAGCGTTCTTAATGATGGAAGAGGTAAAACACTAGATAGAGCACGCAGGACTCCGTGGGCTTTGCTCAGCCCCTGACAGACGTAGTTAATGTGTTTATTGTAGGAAAACTTATTGTCGATTATTAAACCAAGATATTTAAAATCATCGACCCATTCTAAAACTTTCCCATTGAAGGTGATGTCACGTAGAAAGGAAACGGGTCTAGGAGTAAAGAGCATAAACTTCGTCTTATCTGTATGAGCCACAAGCCTGTTCTTTAAGAGCCATCTAGACAAATTCACTGTTAGCTCAGAAACATAATCACACGCTTCATCGTAGGAACTTCTAGAGACATATAGGACGGCATCGTCGGCAAAAAGCTTGCAGTTTACGTTAAAAGACGAGGCGATATCATTGATAAAAATATTAAAAAATAAAATAAAAAAAAATTAAAAAAATAAAAAAAAAATAAAACTTAGAATCATTTGTACGGCAGGTCGCAATTTGGCAGGATGGAAATAAATGAACTTACTCCACTTGGAAAAAACAGCGTTAATTAAATTTTTTCCATTCATCTGAGAGATATAATGATAAAATCGAATTACTGGACATGTCGAGTACGGTTTCAGTCGATGCTTTGTTTAAACAGAATTGAAATTCATAGACAACTAATACGGAGAAGTACCATTTAAGAGATATTATTCGATTGATAAAAAGTTCAAAGTAGGCCAAACACTTAAATTAATACTTATATTCTAGCTTAGTCTGTTTAAAACGCACGTTAACAAGTAATTTAAAGCAAAGAGAACGCCAAGTAAATTGACCACAACAATATTTAAAACGTCTTCAATATAGATATGGTCAATTTATTTGGCGTTCTCTTTACTTTTAAATTCCTTGTTTACTCAAATTAATCATTTTGTCATGAATGATTACTCGCTTAATACGCTCATAAGTTAAAAGGAAATAAACCTCGTTATTTCTTCGTACACACCATAAAATATTTGATTCTGTAAACAAATTCACTATTCCGGCTCGGAAGAATTAACTGCTTTCGATTTATGGAAAAAGTTTTCAAAGTGTTTTTGTCAAATGAAAGCCAACATTTAAGAAACTCTGACCTGTTCATTAATAATCTCAAATGGAAATGACCAATGCTAACGGACTACACTCTATCTGCAGGGCTACGCTGTTTGGCATCAGCAATAGCTTGAATTTAAATGAAGTATTTTCAAATCAGTTTCAGATTTTAAATTTCACATTTAAAGGACGATTCTGTAATGATTTGCTTGTTGAAAAATTATGGCAAATTATCTGAATTATAATAATTAATTATTATTATATGCTGGTTGAAAAAATCCATCCCAATTATTATTAGTGGGATGAAAAAAACTATCAAATTAAAAAATTTAAATAAAGATGAATATGTTAAGTTGGAAATGACCTCTCATAGTTTCTTAAAATAAATTTCATTTACACGAGCTTTGAATTCCGCAAAAATTGCTTAGAAATTTTTATCTCAGAATGAAAATCAGTCCATCTACTTACAGAACATCAGTGCACATGAAATCTTACAAAGACCAGCATTTCAATTACAGTTACTGCCGTTAAAATGGATAATGCATGTGTATGAAGAAACATAAAGCCGTAATTCAATTCCAGCATCCATATAAAAATTTAATGGACATGTCGTGCGTGAGTGAGCGTAGAGCTCACACGCAGCGTTGAGCGTATATGAGGTCGCGCATACGAATAACGCATAACGCGTCTTTGTTGAGGTTTGCTTTAACTTGGGCACAGCGAGCGACCGTGACACGCGAGATCACCGCACCTATAGAACCTGTCCCAGCGCTGCATACGTACGCCAAGGTTGACAGAGAAGAACATGCTTCTCACAAAGAACTCGGGCTAGATTTTAGAATCAAGAGAAAAATTTATTAGCAAGTTTGTCCGCGTCAAGTAATAATGGCAAATGAAATGAAATGACACATGCAGCGTTACAACGCTGCAAACTTGCGCCAAGGTTGACAGAGAAGAACACGTTTCTCACGAAGAACTCGGGCTAGATTTTTGAATCAAGAGAAAAATTTATTAGCAAGTTTGTCCGCGCCAAGTAATAATGACAAAATGAACAGGAAAAACTTGGTAAATATTTGAACAATTCATTATCAGCGACTGAAAATTGCTAAGCACTCGTAAGCTAAAAATGATATTAGTGTTATTTTAAGTGTTGTGCATACATATATGACTGCAGTTTTGGCGCTAGGTTCATATTGTACAAACGTCAACTGCAAATAACTAAAAATAAATAATGTGCAGGGATATATGCATTAGGTATTGACATGTGCTTTCATTGACAAACTTTCACTTTCAAGATAATTCAAGCTACGAAATCAAGTCAAGTAGTTTTTGACTTGTGCTTTCATTGACAGACTTGCACTTTCACGACAATTCAAGCTACAAAGACAAGTCAAGAATTGAAGTAGGATAAATTTTTTCGTTTATTAACATCAAATTTAACTTAATCGGCAAAATCAAACTTAAGTCAATAAGTTTCGTTTGTTAACATCAAATGCCAGAGCGCCACCAAAATGATGAGGAAGTTTTCCCAACTAAAGATGCTAGCCACAACAACTGCCACAGGAATGCCTTCCTTAATAGACCATGTATTGGTTATGTGGTTATAAGAATTCGGGTCAGAATTGCGGTTCATTAATAAATCTCCACGAGTTTGTGGCACTTTACTTCTGGAAGCGGCAATGTGGAGGTCAGCGGTGAGGTGATACCCGTGACCTCAGTGGGGGGTGAGGGCTGTGAGGGCGGAGGTCCTCGAATGAAAGTGAGAATAGCGTACCATTTTTTGAGTCAATTATGAGGCATCGTAAATGCCGGATGTAAAGTAGGTATTGCCTTACTATCGGCAAGGCTAAGAAGGTCATGCTCGAAATTTGTAGATTCTTATATTACGCAAGTTTGAGTATCCCTGAAATCAATCGAAAAATATTGCGGAACTACTGCAGGAATTTAGAAAGTAAAAGTAAGTCAAAATCTTCGGAAATTAAAAATCGTCGAAATACTATAAAATGTAAGATAAACTTCATTTACTTTAATATCCAAATTACATCCAATCGAAAATCGCAGCTCCGATATATGCTAGAATCGTGCAGCAGTTGCCTGTTGCATTTCAATAGCTGGAAATATTGGTGCGTGGTCCAGCGCCGCGCTTATGAGCTTGAGTTGCACGAACGTCACGATGAAATTGACGTGGAACAGCATGAGACCGTCCCGCTATGCATGAGACCGTCCCGCTATGCAAAGAGCGAAAGTCGGGAATCGCATATTGAATTTAATAATGAGGTGTCTTATTGCAGGAAAAATCTGCAGGGATGATTTTCACTTTCTGCAACATCGTCACATTGCAGAAAGCTATTTTGTTTTTTTAAAGCTGTGGGGTTTCTGTACGGATTGCAAAACATGTTCACACTGGATATTGAATCGTCACAAAGTTTTAAACCACTATGTTGATCATTCACAGAGAGTCAAAATTAATTCATGAAAATGGGATGTCCTGTCTCATTTCGCGATAAAGGTTTATTCTATCAGTTTGCTCACGGACTTGCATGGATGCAGAATTTTAACTTTGGGTACACCACTTGGAGTGCAATTAAATGCGTCTTTTGATTCAGAACAATCATCATGAATACATTTTCACTTTTAGCTAGTAAATAGGTGACCAATTACATTGAATTTATTCCTTACCCCGATAATCGAGACCAAGACGACGAGACTATGGATTCACGCTGGATTATGCTCTAAGTAATGTGAATTGGAACGTAATTTGAATGATTTTCACAGCGCAAATGCAAATTGAATCCAATCAATTATCGAGAGCGAAAAAAATATCAAATGAAGCCTGTTGCGTTGTCTCCTTGTGAGATTTAATTGCATCCCGAATCAAGCGAAGTTTTGTGACCCATTTGTGTATATTCGGTATTTAATCTAAATTTCAAAATGGAAAAAGGTTTCAACGCTGTTTTAACAAGCAATTTTGCTTTACATTTTACTCCTATTTTTTTTATTACAAACGAAGAATCGCATTCACCTAATTAAATTAACTACAGCGCAATGACCGTAGTGTGTACAACGAGAGATTGTGTACAATTGTGTAGTGTGTACAACGAGCAACTTTTATTGCTTTAATGTTACGGAAGTTATAAATGTAGGAAAGCCACGTGGTGGTAGCGTCGTGGCATCATACCTGGAAGCCTCTCATGACGACAAGTGTGCGATGCAGTTGATCCGACACTCACAGTGACCTACAGCGTACTGTCACCGTGAGGGCAGTGCTGGCCTTATATATACTGTAGCTCGCACTGGATCCTGGCGTCAGGAAGTGGGAGGAGCAAAGGAAAGATGTGGGATGCCCACTGCACACGTCATACTATGATGCACTCCTGGCAAGGTGACCAGAATCATTGCAAGGACTTCGAAAGAATGATTACGAATAGGGATTTTGGTTTATTTAAGGGCGTGTGTATAACAGGGTGCAATTGTTTATATTTTTTTACAATAATCTAGATAATATCGGCTGTTTTGTGGGCATTAATTGTGATTCTGAAGGTGAATATATAGTGCAATAGGTGATAGATAGTAGTAAAAAAAACTATACGATAATTAGTCGATGATTAGTTAATGCTATAGACCTGCATAATGGTGCAACTGAGGATGAAACTGGCAAATGCTTATGGTCTATGAAATGCCACATTTATATCAATTGTGTAACATGGTGATACGGTCAGATGCATTTTTTACGCCACTTATGATAACCCGGAGAGTTTTCTCAATGCCAACGATTGTTGATCGTCATTGGACGATCAACAGAATTAGAATCGAATTCACAAATTTTGGACGAGCAGTTATTCAACAATTAATTTCTGAGTTAATGAAAAGTGATTAAACAACATACCATTTTGAATGTTCTGGGAACATTTTCACCGTAACAACCCTAATTAAAAAATATTAAAGAAAAAGTCATTGGTTAGAAAGTTCATTTGACCTTGAAGGCTCATTTGATTGGTTAGAAAGTTCATTTGATTTTGAAGGCTCATTTGATTGGTTAGAAGGTTCACAATGACGTTCATTTGACCAAAACAATTTACTTCACTGAATTTCGTTGCGATAAATCAGTATTGCAAAATAATGATTGACGTTGTTCTCTTTCAATGATCTTTTGAAGGCTATAAAAATCCAAATACCATCGACACATCCAATATCCCCTCATCTTTTCAGCTGTCATCACTTCGGTGGCAGATACTCGACACTCGACAGGGGTTATGATAACATATGCAAAGCCATCCCGCCAATCAGAGGAACATTTATTAAATGAAGCAACCAGCGGCAGATAGGAAATTAAGTTTCTTATCACCGCACGACTTACGATCGTCGTTAGTATATTACTGCTAGTCCGACATTCGTTCCAATCGTATTTCGCTGCGTGTATACGCACGTTACCCTTTATGAAATACGCGTCATGTTCCCCTGCAGCTCGACATGTGCAAAGAACGCCTGCGAACGCATATCTTCGTCGCTTCATTAGAGGCACTTTTTATATTTAAATGAATGCGCTTATGGAATGAATATTCCTAAAATAATTCAAATTTTCTTACTTTAATAAATTTACTGTTTTGATTCGCAAAAATATAGACTCCAGGTCCAGCCCAATTCGGGTACACACCCACTCATTGCCTAGCACATCGGAGTTTCTTGCGCCAGAATTGTAGAAAAAATTGTAGAGCGTTAAGAAGTGGTAGAGAATAAATTCTAGCAGGCAGCCTTGTGTTGCCCCGAACAGATTGATCATCTATGAAATTTGAGAATCTCGTTATTTCGAATTTCCTTACCCCGCATCCGGTTGTGTTAGGCTTTAAGACATTAGGCGTTTACCAGTAGGAACATTTATTTTCAAACTCCTACCCGGATTCAATTGGCGTGAAAAAAATATTACTCGTTGACCCGTCCCGACATATATATAAATGTGAACAAGAAAAACGAAACCCTTATGTGTGCTGGTGAGGAACAGTAATTATAATGGCGATCAATGATTTCAATAATGGCAAATATTCGAACAAATAATACATTAAATCAGCACACACCTCAGAAATAGGTAAGTAGCAAATTAAAATATAAGTAGTCGCCTCCTCGTGCCAGAAAAGTTGCAGAAGGTCCTCAGCAGAGTAACAGTTATTGTAAGGGAACAGAGATGCAAATGCTTTAAACTTACGTAAATAATCAATCATATGAAATTGATCAACCCAGGACTGTATCTTCCGTAAGACTGACAGTTTATTGCAACCTCTCGAACTCACCTTAAAATCTCTTGCGACTAAGCGGGAATGCAAGAGGCCATACAAAGGGAAAAGTATAGTAGAAGGAAGGGCAGACTCTGATACAAATAATATATTATGCTTAAAGATGGACTCTGCTCTTCTTATGAAAGTATATAGATATACTGATTGGAGAATTTAAAGTTGGAGAATCTAAAGCCGCTATATGTATTTATTGTGTCAGGCTCAAGCACACAAACTTTTCCATTTCTCCTTCCTCTAGTTGTCTGTCCACTCTGCGCCACATCTTGCTTTTTAGCGCATTTTCTCATTTAGGAAAAAAATGCACTATTGTGCTCGCCATGTCCGTCTGTCTGTCTGTCTGTCCGTCCGTCTGTCCGTCCGTCCGTGACCTCAAGTTTTCTTTGACGAGAAAATGCGCTCTCTGTCACTCACTGCAGTGAGTACTGAGTTATATTTTTTCATCACTTTCCTAGTAGCACCGAACCAACACCACCACCATCACCACCAAATATACAATCTTAGGCAAATATACCTACCTACGAATATAAGATATTTCTAGATGTTTATTCAGCAGCGCAGGTAACGATCGATTTTAAATCATCTTGTTGAGGTAATGTATTGAATTAAAAGATTATCTAAGTGCATTGAAATATGTCTGATACGCCGAATGCTTTAAGACACTGTTTATATTTCGTAACTCCGTGAATCGCACAGAGTAATAAATTGTGCGCTCGAGCTACTGAAGTCAAGCTCGGTCGAAAACTCACTGGTCTATAAAGATATTTGACTTAAAAAAAAAATTTCACGCGCATTTTATTCAGTTCAATTGTAGGTACCGATTTAAACATTGAACGAGTCAATTATTCTTTTTACACAAATTATAATTTATATTTTAATAATTTTCAAGAATCGTCTTCAATTGCGCTGAAACATTTCATATTACACGATTAGGAACACAGGCAATGAGTTTCCCTGCAACTGCTCTTCTCGTGTGAGAAATTCCCTGCATTTGTCGAGTAATCCAGACAATTAAATGTCGTGCGCATGATTGAAGGTTCGCAATGACGATCATAACTGAGCTCGTTAATCATTAAAATCACAGGAGTTACATCACTAATAGCTGTTACAAGTCCAGAACAATTGCAGCTCTGGATAATTTACCTCATCTTTTCTGATCCGTTCCTGGTCTCGTGGGGAGCAGAAGCCCCGTCGGAAGGTCGCACGCCCACCCGTTTGTTTTGCTACCACAGAGCAACGCAATTAACGCTGCGTGCTGCTCATAAATCCTAATGAGATTGTGAGATCCATAATCTCTTCGGCCTTGAAGAACAAGACGTTCGGATCTGACATCCGAAACTTGATGGAAGAATATGTGAGGTGAACTCAGAGAAACAATTTAAGGGCGTCAGGACGACTGATTTACCTGATTTTCATCTACTTGGTGACATTGGAATCTTTCGATTTTCACAAAGTGCGAGTAGCCAATTCGCAAAAACATCATTTATAAGGCTGAAATTATTCACAAATCTTACAAAAGCGGCTACTAAATTACTTACGCTTGGATATTAAGTCTTCGATCGATTTATCAAGCGCATAGAGCGAAGTAACGCTGGGTCCGGAAATCAGGCTTGGAATATCTCAACTTATGAGCCTATGAGAGAAGATTATGTTATGCAAAAAGTTCGCCATATATAATTTAATTTTATGTTTTTTACATTTCAGTTCTGGCATATTTTATCTATTTATTTTTTTCAATAGTTAACCCACTTATACAAATTTTACAAACCTCACGGCACTCTTGTGCATTTCTAAATGTCCAGAGTTTCCAATCAGCAATTAAATGCACAGAATCAAATTCACAATCATAGCCTAGGCTGCCGACGAACAGCGATTAGCGACAGACTGTAAATCTAGGTTATGCTAAAAATGAGTGACATATCAAATGTTTCTAAGAAGCTCAGAACTAAATTTACTGCATTACTGGAGCCTGAGTTGACTTTCATCAAATAATCTTACTTCTGAATAATAAAAATGAATCACTCCCAAAAGTTATTTCCAACATCGGCTATTCATATTAATTTGCGGCATTGACGAGTGCTCGACGACTCTTTTTATTTGATGGAAGAATTAACAACATTTTGTTGCATGAGGTATTAGAGCATTTATGTACTGAGCTTCACGTCGCGCTTTAATAACTCGACGTGTCCAAGCTTATTCCCAATTAATGTTTCTCCCGCGTGACAGGCTTTCAAAGAAGCAGACAAGTTTATCCATTTAATAATGCTTATCAGGGAAGAATTTGTGCATGTAAGTTATTTTAAGCTAACGAAGCAAGAGGACTAGAATTTTTTCGAAGAATTGATACCTCTTGACAAATAAAATTATTTTACGTAGCTGAGAAATTGAGAGCGTGGATAGCGATATTCGTGAGGCTGCGCTTGAATTGAGAGCGCTGATTATGAGCTACCTACATCGCTTTGTTATTACGCAAAAGGTTTTATTCGCTTAAAATTCAGTTGAATAACTTGTGTGATTAACTCATCGCTAGAAAAGAAACCAATAATTCAATATTGTGAATATATAAAACACGACTCGAATGCAAAGTAGCATCCAAATATACCCATGAAAATCAAAGTTTCGAAATTTTAATGAAAAATAACGTTTCGTAAGACTGCAGGCATTTGCATGAACGATCAAGGCAAGCAATTTAGGTCGCATATAGTTTATCTTATGATGAGAATTGTACAAATAAAATTCTAAAAGACAACGCTCCCACATTTTGACCTGAAGATAATCACAAGGAAATTGTCGAGTACAACAATGACTTGGAAAATTGAATAGATAACTTATTAGACTGACAGAAACTAATTTTATATTTTTTTTATCTGGAAATCAGATGCGCAAATAAATTTATTCAAATAATCAAGTTCATAAATCACTTCGCTGGGAGACTGGTCGCCTAGTTTTTCAT